GACTCTATAAAACTTTTCCACCACTGGAAGAATAACTCAAAGTATGTGTTTTATTAATGTCAGTCTAATAACTATTTCTAGGATAATAACTTTTTAGTGATATACTTTTCAAAATGTCTATAAAAATCATAAATAATTTCCTCATATCTTCTGAACACTCACAGACTTTTGTATTTATATTAATATCAATGCTTAACTAGTTTTGCTCAGATATATGTTACTATACTATATTAATTTTCCATATGGAAAATTATAATCCTCTATTCTTGCAGTTTTATGCTATAATGAAATGGATATATTTCTTACGGATTTTATTGCAGTGCTAGTGATGCCATAAAAGGAGAAGGATTGCAAGAAGGTGTAGACTGGCTTCAAGGTACATCACAAAATATTATGTATCTTCAGCCTTTGTTTCCTTTCCATTCATATTTGTATCTCTTTTTTTAATTTTATTTTTGTCATATCATTGCCTTTTTCCTCTTGTTTCCATTTATTTCTGCTGTCAGAAAAAACAATACAGTAAGTATTCAATACCTTGCTCCATTTACTTCTACCACATTTTTTTCTAAAGGATTTACTATATGAAGTGTTTGCATCTTTACAGTCAATATATATGACAAATCTAAAAAAAATTTTAATTTACGGCAACAAATTTCTGTCAGATTTAGTAACAGAAGCACATTTAAATTTTGGAACAAATGTCAGACCTTACTGTCAATAGCTAAACATAAGTCTGAATTACCTGTATCTTTTAAGAATCATGCTGTACTCCATATGTAACTCCATTTATACATGACATGTATATACTACTTTTAATACTTACAGTTAGTATTATAAATACTATTTTATTGATGTTTTGTATATTTTCACTTGTGTTATTCATCAAAATAGTTATCATAGTTTGGCACAGGGTTACTATATCAGGGAATAAATTAAGATATATCATTTTCCCTAAGGTTACATTGTCTAGTAGCCATAGGAATGGCATAAAGCACACAGAGCAATAGATAGATGTATGTGAATGAAACCAAGTTCTGTAGGTCCTTACTGTAGGATTCTGATGGCTAGGTCAAGAAGCTCCAATTGTGAACATAACAACTGAACATCATTCCTATTGGAAATCTCTCTGTCCTGAATAAGGGTGAATAATAAGATATTACAAATTCTAGTTGTAATCTTGTGGTTATAAATTCTTCTACACTAACCTTTTGATGCCAGTTATGTGTGAAATTTTTTCCTCTTCTGAATATTGGAAACAACAGCAGGGATGTAGCACATATCAGGGTGGATCTAAGAGAAGCCTGCTTGCCCTGCATAAAAAAGCATAATATTTCTTTGTTTCAAAGTACTAAATATACATTTCATAAATAGTTGTGTTATTAGTAAAATATTGTGTTTTAGTTAACTGCAGAGACTACTGTATTTCACTCTTTTTTCTATTTATGTAGTTGTTATGACATTTAGTACTAAACTGCAAGGAACATTCTAGTCATGTTTTACA